CCTGCGTTCGACGGGCTGACATCCTCTGCGTCTCTTCCCCGTCTCTACATGACAGTCGCCATAACTTCCTATAAAGATTTTAATTCAAGGGCTTGTTGAATTACATCGCAAAAAACACTGGCTTGGTCGCCCACTATCAGTAGTGCTGCAGATTTGGCTGATAATATCATCGAGATGGTTAGTTGGTTGATTTCTCTACCATATCCTCCCTACACCTTTGAAGATTTTCCCTTCAGGACCTGTACAACTCACCATATCCTTCCTGGATATCCAAACCCACTCTGCGTGGTTACAATGCCGCTTCTTTCAAGAAAGCTGTGCTATCATTTGGTGAGCACCTTTTCTATGAGGAAAGCTCTGACTGCTCAATAATAAAAGTGAATATTAACAAACATCTCCGGTGACATACACAAAGGAAAAGTAAAGAAATGCTGGACTTGCAAGAAGATTTCAAGCACTTCTGGATGTCACCGGAGAACCTACTGCCTAAGACCATTTCATAGACTAGTATTCAGGTGAGAACCATCAAATCCGATGTGCAGAATATGCACCGTGCAGAAACATCATGGGAGGTGTATGGCTTAAAAATCTGCTGGACTCTATTAAGAGCGCTATCAAAGGTGAAGGTCCAAAGGTCATCGGATATGCTTCGGTGAGTTACAGGTCTACACACACTTCGTACTGTACGTCAAAGAATGATTCACCATGTATGTCACGGCAATGTCTTTGGCACAGTTGGAGAATTGCGTATAAGTAAAGGTTCTACTAAGTCGCTCCATCCGCGTGCAAATGTTTTGAGGAACATCTTTCACACTAACGGAAACATGCAGCCTTGTCAGCTGCGCATGCTAGGGCTTATCAAAAGAGCCTGTTCTGCAGCGACGCTAACCCGCTTCTCCACCAATTGTGGTCGATTGCCAACTTTTATAATTGGTGGAGAATAGGTTGGCGCCACGCCAAACCCATCCCCTGACACTCCCCAGCATTCGCGGCGAACAAGACTGCAACTTCTCATGTGGCAAGTAGGGAAACCCTCTGAAGAACCTTTGTCACAGCATACCGAAGTCACACTCTCGGTGATGAAGCTGTTAGGAATAGAGAAGGACGAACTGACGACATCAGCTGGATTTGTCATCGAGTTCAGGTACATTTTTTCAGTTTAGCTTTATACCTGTCACCATTTACTATGTATGTCTGCTACAGGAACAAGCCCGAACCTAACATCCGCATCCTCAATCATGATCCAGTAGAGATCGATAAGCACATTATCTATAAGGTAGGTTCGGGAAATTACTTCGGGAATTTTCAAATGAGTTTCATCCGATTGCAGGCGACATACACCCCAGATTTGGCGAAAATCTCTGACAAAGCTGGCTGGATTCCTTTCAAGAAGTTCGAGACATTGGTCGGGAAATTCGCGATCGCCGATTGGCAGAAGGCTTGTGGACGGCCGTCTTGCGGAGTTTCCTCACCCTACGGGACGAAGCATGCTGCCAAATAACGGTGCTCAATGACTGTTATAGTGTCTCACACATTCTTTTTCATTTTTCTGTCATTAAAGCGGGCAAAGGTGTTTTTAATGGTGCGGTGGTACGTACTACGGATAAAGTGCAATTGTCTGTGTGAATTCCTAATGTGTTGTGGTTGTCTATGCGCAACCGGTTATGCACAATTTTTCATCATTCGAAATTCGTTTTTGGGAAGTTTGGCGCAGTAACAGAGACAGAGCAATCATATTTATGAAACATCAATCTATCAAAGTCGATCAATTGATAATCCTACAGTCCTCATCATTGCGGACCGGTGGGGCGTGTCAGCCAGTATGAGTGTGCACACTGTTGAAGCCGTTCTCAGCCTTTTTGTTGAAACGCGTATGCGACAAAAAGTGGTAGAAAACGAGTAATACGGAGGATATAATACAGTCATGTCATTTGCTCGCTTCAACACTGGTGCAGAACGACTTTGGCACCGCGCCAAACGCAGCCGCACTGACACGCCCCACCGGTCCGCAATGATGAGGACTGTAAGTCCGTTGGTGACCACCGCTTTCTACAGTATGTTGTGATAAAAAGGCTGAAAAAGGTAAAGCATTTCCATTAAAGCTGAGCAGTCATGGTCATTTCCCGTCTGCGAAACAGGATGTTTCGAAACAGGATGGTGCACAAGTTTCCGTAACGTAAACGTTTGCCTTGCCTCGTCTGGTGATCCACCTTCTTCGTGTGCTTCCCAAACATTTTCAAAGGTCGCACGACTTAACCGGGCGATGTTTTACAAAGTACGACCCCAT